GCCGTACTGCACACGGTGGAAGTCCCCGCTCGCCCGCTGGCTGGCGCGGCTTTCACCTGCATGCCACAATGCCTGCTGTCGACTGCATGGCGAGTTCCTAACTAACTCTAAGCTCCTTTTCACTTCTCTCGGCGACTGTCAGGACTATAGTCCGGCAGTCTCCTGAACCTCCCGCTGAACAGCAGGCCGACTACGGCGTCATGCCCACCATTGCACAAATGCTGTCGTCCTATACTGAGGCATAAAAGAGGAGAGGTTCGACGGGGGAAGTTACGAATATCGTGTCCGTGCATGCGGCCCCCCAACAGGAAAATGGTTCGAACATCCATCGAGGTCCCACTCACGTAGCTGTTCCATCTATATGACAGTCAGTCAAGTGCAATTATGATTTACCCCGCAGCGCCGAAAGCAAACAGCCAAAGCATTTTTGTCTGTTGCCAAAGGATAATCAGTACTTATGCTGTTCGCTTTAAGTGAGAAAATTGCCGGGTAATAGATCACCACGGAGAAAAAATCCCCAAAAACATGTAATATGGGACCGAGGGTAATGGGGGTTATGCGGGTGAGGCATTACTGGGGCGTAAGAAAGAAAGCAAAAGGGATAAAGCAAACAAAAACAGGAAATGAGAGAACATTGTTATAAAAAACTAAGATATAGCAACGAAAAAGCGCGTGATAATTGAAAAGTAAATAACAAATAACAAATTAAATAAATTAAATTAAATAATAAATTTAAAAAAAGCATTATTACTGGTCGAGTATTACGGAACTCTGGGATTCTCGCTTTCTGTGGTGATCCATATAGTAGACTGTTACCCATTACCGAAAACGAAATTTTTGGCGGAATAAGTAGCGACAATCCTGTGGCTATGTGGGCCTTGCAGCTGATTAATTGCGTAATGAATAAATTATTTCAGAATTTGACAAGCAATTTAGTTTCATGATTATCGGCGGCAACGATGGTGACATCAATGTCAAAAAAGTCCAATAAAACCATTCGTATTATAGAATGAACATTATAGCATGTAAATCGGCATTTTACAAACGTCTATCTTTTAATATTACAAACGGGCCTTTGTCAAGATCCGTGATGACCGCGCTATTTGCACTGGGACCAAATGCGTCAAGGAGCGAGTTTTGATGAAGAAGGTGACTTCTGGGATAATTACACATGGGTAAGATTTCACATCACGCGCTACCAACTTCGACGGGTTCCAACTTGACATTCCTTCCAAGATCCTTCACTTCTTTATGCAATAACAGAATCCACTAGCCCAGGTGCATGGCGGCAGAATCGTCGAGAATGTGAACATCCATCTATCTATTCTGTTCGACGATAGCTTTCTATTTCTACAGACGCTGGCGACAGTCACAGACCAGAAATGTAGTCGGTTGTTTAATAAATTGACTCACCAATCCCCTGTCAAATTATATGCGAACGAGAGACTTGTACTTTCGAAATCGTTTCATTATTTCGCCTTCGAGTCACGAATAATGATTAAATTTGGCAATACAGGATAATAATTAAGCGGAAACGCTGCCCAACCGATCTCCACCTTTCGTGGTCGAAAAAGTCTCTGGTGCCTCAGTATTCCTTTCTCTATTCCTAACTACTCACGCTACCTTAGAAAATACTAGAAAGAGAGAGATCACAGCGTTTTTCGATGGAATACGTTCGGAGAAATATGCTCCAAACAACTCACGACGTAGCTGGTCTCACCTCCTGTTTCGTCGAAATGAAGAACGTGAGAGTCTTTCATCGAGTGAGACCCTGTAGTGGACCTTAGCACCACTGTTGATTTATCACGCCAACGCTGCAGTCACTCTGACTGCCGGCCCCTGTCCGCCCGTCGCTCAATGTCTGGAGCGACCTACAAACACCTAGTCTCGCCTCCGCCAACATTGCGCCTACCCTCCGCTGTCCAACTAATCACCAACAAGCTTGCTGAGACTGCAGCCCGGGATTACTGCAG